AGAGAGAGGGGGGGAGAGGAACACAACAGTGCAGCGGCTACGCACCGCGGAGCTGAACCAATAGAAAAAAAAATGCGAAAGCAAACAGAAGACTCCCTAACAGGCTGCTCTTGCCATCCACACACATCTTCTTTTTGTTTTGAAACCGTGCTGTTGGACTTTTCTCACGCTTGGCCTCCCCCTTTGCTACAGCCAGAGAGCGTCCAGCACGCGTCAGACAACAACACCGCCGCCCAACGTGGAAAAAGAAACACACAGCGGCCACTCTCTCGTGGTGTCGAGCGGCATATCGCAAGTAACGAGAGCAAAGGCAAAAAAATTCACAACGCAAGATGCAAAAGAAAGGAAACAAAAAAAAAGAAGAATCAGTCGCAACAGTCCATAAAACGAGTCCGAAGGATAGCAAAGCAGCTATTTCCCTGGCTCCTTTACTCACTTCCCTCCGCCCCCCCCCACCAGACTCCTCAGCGGGAGCGGTGGGCGGCGGCGTCACGAACACCGTGACGTGGCGATCACTGCCCGGCGCCAGGGCCTCCAAAAACTGCAATTGTGTTTGCGCCCATGCCAGTCAAGATATGCAAAGACGGATATTGCTTCAGATCGTCGCCTTCTCTGGCAACACCGTGTTTCCCCTTTTGTTGATTTTTTTTTTCTTTTGCCGTGTTCATTGGTTCCTTTTTTTTTTCTTTCATTATTGCCATTATTGTTCTGAGGGCGCGTCACTGATGAAAAGAGCGCTGTCCAAATCGTTCAGTTGGTGGAGAGCCGATCAACACAAAAAGACACACGAAGTACAGACACACACACAAAAACAAGGGAGACAAACAAGTACGGCAGCCGAAGCAATCAAAACAACAACAACAACAAAAAGGAGAAATGGCAATGGAAAAAAAAAAGCCTATTCATCGTTCCTATAGTAGTCCACATTTGCGATGATTTTGCGCCTTCAAACAGAATGCAACTAAAATACAACTAGCATCACAGCTGGCTTTTCTTTGTTTCCATCCTTTTCGTTTTGGGTCTTCCACTCCCTCCACACACATTTTCTCGCCTCCGCACGTGTGTGCCGCCAACGACATCCGTGACGGGGGCACGCGGCGGGGGAGCACACCGCCTTCGGTTTCCTGCTGCTGCCGCCGCCCTCTCTCCCCCGCTCTTTCTCTCTCAAAGGAGTTGCGCGGATCGCCCCCCACCCCGTCCCACTCCCGAAGGGGCGCGCAGCAAGGGTGCTCCACACGCTAATACGCACGGGCCTCCACTCCGTGTGTACTGCCGACGGTCAGTTGGAATCGCAGCCCGGCGCGATGCCCGAATAAAAAGAAACGACAGAACAACACACGCACACACAGTGAAACAAAGCGAGCAACAGAAAACACAAAAAATCAGTAATGAAAGCGAAAAAGCAAAAGCAAAGAAACCCCCGAGAGACAAAGGCAGGAAAAAGAAAAAGTCAATAGTGAGAGTAGAAAATAGGGTCAATTTCTTCGTTGTCTTCCTCTGTCTGTTTTGTTGCACTTTTTTTTCTTTTTTCTTTTTTTTTTGAGCAACCAATGGCCTGTGGTTCTGACACCGGAGGCTGTTTTCCGCAGGCGCGAGATCTTTTCATTGTTTATCTCCTCGTTCCCGATTGTTTCTACCACAACTTCCATCGTCTTTCCAGCACTCCAAGAAAAAGTAATAGGAAGGGGGGAGAGGAGGAAGAAAACAACCCACTGCAGCACGAAAGGCAAAAAAACAACAACACCGTCGAACAGGAAAGGTATGAGGCGAAAGTGATAACAAAAAAAGAAAAAAATGGAGAAATTGGCGTCTTCGCCCTCTCTTCCCCATCCATACCTGACGGCGCTGCTCTTATTTCCCCTGCCGTTGTTGTTTTATTTGCCGCTGCATCAGTTTCTTTACCGCAGATATGGAAAGAGGTATATTAAGGGGCCAGGGGAAGGAGAGTGCTCGTCCAAAACATTCTAAGAAAAGCAAGACAACACCAAAGTCACTTGTTATCAGTGGAGCCTTGATTTCTGGTAGTTTTCCCTTCCTTCTTTCCTCCTTTTGCCCTCGTGCCAGGAGAGTTACTTCTACCAAAATATGAAGGCCATCAGCCTGCAGCCTGTTCATGGTGACAATCTCATGGCAGGTTGACGGCACCGCGAAAAGAAAAAAAAATGGGTGTGTGTGTGTGTGTGTCAGATTCCCCTGAGACAAATTTCTTGGTTATTTGCCATGATCACACATATGATTCCTGCACACTCCGCAGGCCCCTTTACTGCTGCGGCATATGGGGCATCAACGGCCTCTGGGAGCCCTGCTGCGGGGGATACGAGGGGTGCGGCGGCACGAACACAGCCGGGTTAGAGGGGGACATCTGAGGGAAACCGGCGAAGTTCGGCCCGGGCATCACGCAGGGTGTCATCCCCTTCGCCATGCTGGAGCCATCCCCCAGGCCAGCGCGGATATTGCTGCAGCGCATACACAATACAGTATTGTCGTAAGGGCATATGCACACCGTGTCCATCACGCCAATAGAAGTCGAACACATAGAGCACGTCGTCCCCTCAGACTTTTGGGGAAACGATGGCGGATTGCCACCGCGGAATAGCCTCTCCTGGAGAGGCGATGGAAACGACATCCCCGGATTTCCCACGGCGCCAGCTGCCGCGGCAGCTGGTTTGCTGTTACCCTGGTTCACCTGAACTGCGGGAAGCGTGCCTGGGGGTCCAGCAAACATGTAGAAATTAAGCGGTGGTGCAGGCCCAATGACGGAAGGCGGCACAGTCCCTCCGAACATACCAGGTTGTGGGGCGCCAAAAGTATTCAGGCCAGGAATAGAATTCATCAGTGATGGGCCTCCTGTACCGTTTGCATTAGAATGGAACCGTAGCAAAGACGGATTCAGCGAGTCCCAACCTGGTAGAAATACACCCATTGAAGCTGGCGATGGCCCTGCGAGAGTGCTGCCGTCGTGTCCTGTCCAGAAGGTGCCGTCGGCTCCTGTACCGGTGTTCGCGGCGACTCCAGGGTTCCCGATGTGTCGGTTCGAGCTCTTGTTTCTTTTGCCACCTTGTGTGCGGAGACGCATGTACTGCGGAGTAAGTTCTTCCAGCACGAGAGCCGCCTTTGGAACACCGCGAAGTCTGTCACGCATGAATCCATTGATGAATTCATTCAGGTGTGCCGCCTGATCTCGTTCAACAACCCAAACACATGAAACATCGCACAAAATGCGCTTTGAATATCCGAGAAGCACCGGCAACGCACTGCGGTTGACCACCACAAAGGCACAGGTACGACTCACAGTGTGGCTCTTCACTTCCCCCACGTGGACTGGAACCCCAGCGTCGGCGCCAATCGCGCGGAGGAGGTCTGCGGTGTCATTCTCTGTGTACGTTGAGGGCAACTGGCCAACGAAGACACCAACCGAGCTCTCCTCCATTATAGGCAAAGGCACCTGCAACTTTGATAAATTGGACCGGAAGTTGAGTGCTCTCCCACGAAGTGGAGAGGCCGCAATGGATGCGTACACAGCGGAGCCTGGGCTCTGTGTCACATTTGATGTCGGGGGGCTTTCCGCCTCACTGCAGGGGGAGAATGGCATTGAGGGTTGAGCTTTTATTCCCTGCGAATTCATACAATCGTGCGAGTGAGGTGAAGCATCCACAAGAACGCCGATGCTCCCCAAAGATTCTGTCGGAGCCGAAGAACGCCGCCGCTGTATTTCACAAGATTCTTGAACGTCGATATCGTCAGCCTTATCTAATATGTTTGTCTGCAGTAGACCATCAAACGCCGATAATGCCCTGGGGTCCAACTTGGTGGGCTTTGACGACAGCAAATTGAACTCCCTGTCAGCGTTATCATAGTTGTTGTTGTCGTTGTCCTCTTCCTCCTCCTCCTCGTCTGTCGGCAGCTTCAACGACATGAAGATGGCGTCGAGTGTGTCGCTGTCCCGGTTGATTGACTCCAAGTCAAGGTTGTTGCTGAAGATGTTTTCGATATTCATGGCGCCAAGGGGACCACTCATGAAACGCAAAGCAAAAAAAAAAGAAAACTTCAAGCGGTACAGTGCTCAGAGTTCTCNATGAAGATGGCGTCGAGTGTGTCGCTGTCCCGGTTGATTGACTCCAAGTCAAGGTTGTTGCTGAAGATGTTTTCGATATTCATGGCTCCAAGGGGACCACTCATGAAACGCAAAGCAAAAAAAAAAAGAAAACTTCAAGCGGTACAGTGCTCAGAGTTCTCCCTCACACACTTTAAGGCGGGCTCAGGACCTCCACGGGACAAAAGAGAGAGAGCACCTATGAGAATGTTGTGATCCTCAATGAGGGCGGTATTCTTTAACAAAAATGGGTGGCTCTTTCTCTGTTTCTATGAGCTGTGCGTGGTATGTGGCCTCTTTTCTTCCACCTACCAGAGGAGTGTCAAGCGTATGCTGTGATTGAGGACGCGGTGCAGGGTTTTCCTTTCGTTGTTGTTGTTGTTGTTGTCGTTATTTGGTTTCCGTGTCAAACGGAATTGAGATACAAAGGAAAGGAAGAATAGAGAAGCAACAAGAAAAGGAGAGGAGGCATCGGCGAAGCACAATAAAACCGCAGTTGCACAAACCAGTAGTCCACTCCAGACAATGTAGACGAAGGACGGGGATAGAGGACAAAAAAAAAAAAAANAAAAAAAAAAAAAAGCGACGTATTCATCGCTATCTACATGATTGATCTTTCGTACACATACAAACACACACAATTGGGTATACGCATGCGTATGTGGATGCGGGTGGGTGTACTGCTGCCGTTCCTCAGCTCGCTGTCTTCAGACGGCTCTTGCGTCGCTTGCTGGATTCGTCCTCTCTCGCCCCAAGAAGGGAGATCAACGCAGTTTCGGGTCGTCGAGGTTCCCAGTAGTGGCGCACAATTTCCTTGATGGTTTCTCGGCTTTCGGCACGTTTCTCGTGTTCATGTTTAAGATCCTCTACGAGTCGATGCGTGAGTTCCTGTACCGACGCCTTCAGCTCTGCGGTGTCCGGGTCTTCCTCAATCACCCCGGGAGCCAAAAACGCTGCTGGGGACGACGTACCAGGCCGGGGCGAGGAACGATCGTTCGGGGACCTGACGCGCTGCTGGAGACCTCCGGAGGAAGCGCTCGGAGGACTCTGGTGCAGAGGAGGCGATACCTCCGTAGCACGAAGTGGGAGCAGCTGAATACGGTACTGCGACTCACTTAAGATGGGCGCATGCAAGTAATTCGGTTCGTCTTCGATATCTGTTACCACACGTGGCATAAAAATCGGAGAAATGATCCCGTCCTTGACAACACCGGCGCGGGAAATTTCCCTGCTAGGCGCAGCGCCTTCTTCTTCATGAGGCATCAGGTACGGCAGCAGAATGCCGCGTGGGTTTTCGAGGAAGCGCTGCCTGCTCATACGGCCCTGATCCAGAAGCAGCAACTCCTCCGCTGACGGTGTCATTTCCCTCTGTTTTCCTCTTGTACCACCAGCACGTGGAGCGGAAGATAACATTTGATCGGCACTGATATGATCGATCGGTGGAACCCACGCGCCGCGCAGGCACGCCAAAGGGTCCTTCGGCGGAGCACCACTTTTGACATCCACCTTCGCAGAAAAACTCAAGCGCAGGTCAAAGTCAACAATCAGTGCCTCGTCTGTGGTGTCAAGGAAGAGCGTGGCAGGGTTTGGCACTGTGATGACACCTGGGGACGTGTGGGCTGCACGCTCCGCCGCATTCATGTTGCTGACTGTCTTGCGCTTCTCCCCATTGGCACGCCCCTTCTTTGTAGACACTGCTGACACTTCTCTGGAAGTAGAAATGGCGGCTACGTCCACCTGCGTGGCCGCCTGTTGCTCCAGACGTTCAGCGAAGGCACGCGGGTCAGCGCTGTGCTCCTCAAGTTCCTGTTGGCGCTTCTCACTCGCCTTCTGCTCGGCGTTAGCTCTAAGCGCACGGAACTTTAACTCCTGTGCCAATCGGCGTCGTTCCTCCCACTCCTGGACTTTAGCCTCGTCCAGGCACGCCTCAATGATATATGTGGCGCTCCGCGTCTTTTCACCCGATTCAAGCGTTCCATGCGAAATAAAGAGGTGGTTAGTACAGGTTTCTGAAACATACACAGGTGGTGCCTCCACTCCACTGCGCATCACTCTAACATAGAATGGGATGGGGTCACGTGCATCAAGGTCAAGCAATAGGGTGAAAGCTGTCTGCTCTACTACTGTGCAGGAGTAGGCAAATAGCAGGGCCTGGCTGCCTCGCTTTAACTGTCCCTTTTCTGCAAAGGAAAAAACGCTGTGTGGGATTGACTTGTATGAGTCTAGTGGTCGGTCTGCTGCTATCGTGAGCTTCCAGAGACCTTTGCCACAGAGCAGCGGAGGCTTCTCATGTGCTGCTGGGTTGTCCTTGTCCTCCTGGTTAGAGGACGAAAGGCTGTCACCCGGCCGCGCTGCGCCCTCCAGCATTGTGACCGTAGCAGTCTTCATCAGTATTTCCGCTGTCGCCGCATCTATGAAGGCGTACGCCATCACAAGAAAACCCTGGTGATTGGGTTCCAGTCGCTGGCGCACGAGGCGGCCCACGGCCCCAGTGCGAATAACGCCTGTGTCAAGGTCTAAAAGTAAGACTCGACAGTAAGGTATGGCTGGGATGTCGTAAACCCGTTGTGGTACCTCCTCCATGACTTCCTTCTGAGGTGCCTTTGTATTAAAGGCGCGTGTTTTTGTCCCTTTAGTTTCCTTTTGAAGTATGGCAGGAATGTCTCGGTGAGCGGCAGGATCCTCGCTAGGATCACGCGTAGATACAACAAACGAGATTTCTGTTGGCTCTTTCACTGTAATACGTCGCTTGAACCATACCACTTCATCATTTGGTCGCTCTAACTCGGGGTAAATTCCTGCATCGCTCATTTTGAAGATATTCGCAGATCGTAATATGTCCTTCTCGTCACCCATGACAAATTCTTGTGTTGCGAACAGAATGAGTGCTTGCTGCGGCTCAAGGCCCACAGCTGTCAAGCGAAAGATATGCGAACCACTGGGCAACGTGTGCACCATGCACTGCTGCTTGCCATTTTCGTACATGAAGGTGGAGGCACGACTAAACACGTCACCACGATTCCATGTATACAAATCGAGGCGAACCTCCTTTATTTCCTCGCGCAGCAGTCTGCTGTCTATTGACGGACTTGCCGATTTACCGGAGAGTGGCCGACTCGCTGATAGCACGGACGGTGGGCGGCTTCGTGTTGTAGTCACTCCAGCCACAGGGTGTGAAGGAGCTGGAAAGCTCACAAGGGCAAGCTGTTCTGCCTTGTCGGAGGTCATATGAATCCAACGCACAGTATTTCGTTTCACTGAACTAATCGGTGCCGCGCTCGTCGCCGAGGCCATGGCCTTCTTCCGTGGACCCGCAAACGTGGAGGATCCATCATCTGCCCCAACCAGCCGGTTGCAAAACCGGAAAGGGCTTCCACTCCCCAGTGATCGCCATACCACAAGGTCCAGATGCGCTGACAACTCTTCAAAAGTAACCCACAACGACGGCTGCGATGGTACAGACCCATGGCATGCCCGTTCCATCTCAGCGTGATGAGAAAAGCGAAGTAATTCCCTCACAGCCTCGTCCTCACTCTGAGGCGTCAGCTCCTTTGACATGATGATAGTGTTTGGAGGGTTTGTCGAGATACGCAGCGCCAGTGTGCTGCGAAAAAAGACAATTTCTTGTATGACGAACAGTTTCCGTCGGCCGGCTGTCATGGCAGATACAGCGCAAATAACGGGAGGTGGTGAAACATTTTGCACGCCCTCTTCAATCTGGGGAATTTCTTGACTGCAACCTGATGTAGTGTCCCCAGCCTTCACCTCCCCATTGGCATCATCACTGCCTTGCTGATTTAGTGATAGATGTGCTTCTGGAACTTCAGCAGATGCCGTGTCCTCCGCGGTGGATGCTGAGAAGTGCGTCGTATGGGTGTCACTGTTCGGTAAATCCTTGCGGTACGCGAGCAGGAGAGCACATGCCGTAGCGGGGTGTAGTCGTGGGTCGACATGCTGAGGAATCCACTCACCCCGCAGACACGAGATGATTGTTTCAGGGTCACTGAAGAGAGCTTGACGACTTGGGCCCAACGCCACAAAAATTGCTTTGGCCAGAAGCGCTGGCCAAATCTCTTTTTGTGATGTAATGGTAAGAAATGGCCGTCCCAGCGCGTCCACAGGCAAGTAATCATCAATGGTGACTCTGCGGAAAGCCCCGTCAATAAAGAGACGTACAGCGTACTTCCCGTATGGGTTGTACACGGGATGACAAGTACCAGGAGCGTGCGGATACACTAACTCCCACAGATATTCACCATTCTTTATGGAGGTCTGAGCGTACTCAATGAACTTGATGGCACTGTTGAAGGCATCCATGACAAATGGTGGCGGCTCTGACATCTTCGACATCTCATCTACCTCATTGAGCCTATGTCGCAGCGCAGTACTGTACCCCGACTCGCACGCTTCCACAGGTGTTTCCGCGCAGCCAAGCTCTAGTTTAGGGTCGTAGGCCTGCATGAGTGATTGCAGCTCTCGATACTGCTCCACCACCCGTTCATCCCCAAGACCTTCCCACTTACTCGACGCACCCTCAAGTGCCTGCGGCTCCAACACACGCACAATCTCTGGGAACTGCACGTGCAGTGGAAGAGGAGGGGCTACCGCTTTGGTATCACCCTTCTTTCCACTTGGTACTGCGACAGACTTCACCGCCTCCTCCTCTGCCCTGGCGTCGAAGAGTGTCCGCTCATCGCCCTTGCTGTACGGCGAAAGGAAGGGTGACATGTTTCGGTGCACCATTGGGCGGAATGGAGCAAAAATATTCACTGGGCGCTTCCACTCCACGGCGAGATCTGTCGAAGTGCAGCCCTTGGTGCTGCTGACGAAGNGGAATGGAGCAAAAATATTCACTGGGCGCTTCCACTCCACGGCGAGATCTGTCGAAGTGCAGCCCTTGGTGCTGCTGACGAAGGATACGATACATTCCCTGAACGTGCTGTACTGTGCCTCATCGGGTGTCACGACAATTTTTCCTTCCGTGCTGCGGAGCTCCACCACGGCGCCTGACTTTCGCACCGGCAGGCCGAGGCTGCCGCCCCAATTTTCCTGCTGAATCTGAGCTTCATCCCACCGAGGCAGGCCACCGTTCGGTTGCTGTATCAAAACGCCTGGAGTAAGAGAAGGCTTCTTCGGCTTGGACGCCATGCCAAGGAAGAAAAAAAGGGGTCTATTCCGTCTAACACCTATTCAAGCATGTATAGTAGGATAATATGCATTGCGCACCAAGGCGGAGGAAGAAGTAGGCATTGAAGCAAACTGCAAGTGGACCTCACGCCAGAAAGTTCCTCGTCCAAAGCACCTGCTCGGCACGAGAGAAACGAATACGACGTGGAAGAAAAAAAAAAAAAANAAAAAAAAAAAAGAACAAGAAACACTGTGTAAGTGCCGTAGTTTTCTTCTTTATTCTTTCCTTCCTTCTCCTCCTCCTCCAACCCATTCTCCGAATTCGAACCATACTTCTCTCTACCATTGGTCCAACCGCTGGGCGTGACGCACAAGCACACATACTGGCGGAGGGGTGACGCGTGCCAGCTGCGGACACACAGCACCCGCACATATGAAAGTTAGAATAATAGTCAAACAAAAAAAGAAGATCAGAGCTGATGAAGACTTTAAAGGAGAAAAAACGAGTCGGGTGGGCATTTTAGGAACACGCATGGCGAGCTTCTCCAACAGCACCTGCGCACAGCGCCTCCGTACGCCTTGTTCTTCTTTTCTTTTCTTTTTTTTTTTTCATTCCCCCTTCTAACCTTATGTCGCCTTCTGTGCTGTCGGGGAATACTGTATCACATCAACTGTTCCATTATGGTGGCCACATCCCCCTTCGCCTCAACAAGCATGTTAAGCAGCTCCGTGTCCGACTTCTCCGGGGCGAGACCCATTTCCCGCAGCTGCCGCAGTTCGTCACTAAAGCGGTGTGGCGCAGCCTGTGCTCCCACCTCAGGTTCATCTTCGTAGTCGATTTCCATCGTGGAGGCGTAGTTAATAGGGAGGTCCACACGGTCTTCCTTCTGTGGGGGAACGAAATTCTGCGGAAGCTCAGACAGTGACTTCGTTGCTAGCTGATGACAGAATGCATTGAATGCTGTGCGGTCCTTGCGGTACTGAACAAGCGCGGCGACGTTTGCGGGGGCACCAGCATCCTTTGGATCGGGGTCACTGAGGAGTGAGACAACCGAGAGGAGAACAGAGCGGATTGTCTGGATGGGTGTCCAGCGCATCATGGCAGTCTCCTCCGTGTTCATCTCATCCTCGCCGGGGGGATGGAGGATGGAGATGCACACCTTCCCGTCCGTGTACACGTTGGGGTGCCAGATAGACGACAAAACCTTGAACACTGGCGGCTCCATCGGAAAGTCTCGCGGAAAGCGCAGCTCCGCCTTGTAAATACCAGGGGCGTATGGCGTGCCCTGAGGTCCGGCAAACCACACAGTCCAAATGAAGAGATCCTCTGACTCAACGCGGAAGCCAGCGGGGGGACTCAGCGTCAGTTCTCGGAGTTGCTTCTGAAGATGAGGAATTGCCGACATCTCCTTCCGGTGGGCCCGACCAATGCTGCAAAACACGATCGACAGAGTCTGAAAGGCTGCTCGAGAACTCCACGAACCGTCGTTATATGCATAAACAGATTTGAGCGCAAAAGTGCAAGCATGAAAAAATGCAACAAGAAGAAAGAGAAGAGATGATAGAATTGTGATCGCGTTGAATCTTCATACATGCAGAAACATAACTGTACATATATAGACACACACTGATATGCAAACTGCGATGAAGAAATACTTAAGAGGCAAAGAGCACCAGGCTAAAAACAAAAAAAAATGTGTGCACAGTAATGCCCTTATCAGTGAAGCCACTTTAGAAAGAGAAGAAAAGCACGCACAGAAAGCGCTTTCCACTCCACAAGCAAGACGAACATCACCCATAGGCATTTACATGCCTCTTTTGCCCTCCCTTCCCGCTCCCACTACCACTATGACCACCACAATCATCATCATAACACTCTTCGAAAAATTATTATCATTAGTATCCGTCATCGCTTTCGTCGTCGATATCACCATATTGCCACATCCCTTTGTGACCGCGACGGGCAATATCTTGCGCAGCCTCGTGACGTTTGTACTCCTTCGGATCAACGAGCTGTGCTCCGCGGTCAAGCAACGCAACACCCCGCTGTAACAGAATCTCACTGAGCGAAGAAACATTTTCATTGACTGTCACTGTGGCATAGATGTTGCCTTGACCGTCACGGTACACTTCCTTGGCAATAACAGGCCCATCAGTATAGTCGTATACAGTGTCACACGCGTAGCCCACATTGACCTCAGCAGAGGGCACCTTTGCCTTGAGGAACGCGAGCCGCACCAGCCGCGCAAGTGGTGGGGTATCACGAGCAACGGCAAACTCAGGACCACGCGGTATAGCCCGAAGATCCTTCACACGCACCTCTGATCTTGTACCAAAGTCAATGAAGAGTACAGTAATGATCGAATCGTTCTTCTTTGCGTGGAGGACCTTGGCGCGGTGCCATGACTTATCGCTCTTGTACTGAGCAACCACAACTTCACCGCGCTTTGGTGTGTACTCACTGCCAAGCGAAGCCGCTTGCTTGGCAAGATCCTGCACCATCTCCATGGCAGTCTCCGCCTCCTCTGTGCACTCTTGTAGGTAGACGGAGTATCCGTCGTCGCCCACTTCCGACAGTACATATGGGGCAAACTCCGCCTTGGGGCCTGACGAGCGGGAGTACGACGTAGGGGCATTGGCGTTGCGCTCCGCCTCCAGCTTCACTGCGCGCTGCGGAATTGTCGCGCCCTCGGCCCAAATATTTTTCTTTGCGCTTTGTGCCCTGCGCTCTGCATCAATGAGCTGCTGGAGGAATGGAAGACGCTCTGCGTTGGCCACCGTTCCCAAGCCGGCCTCCACCGTTGAGACGGCGAAGTTGGTGCCATCAGGAAGAAACACAGAAGAAATGAAATTACCCGCTTTATCAGCGGTATATACCTGAATCTCTACCTCCATTTGTTGCAGCATATTAATGGCAAAATTCTTTGACTCTTCAGCACAAGGATCCGGTTTTTCCGAGCCGCCCATTGCACCCATAGGGGTGATTATGCCCGCAACCTTAACCGGAATCTGGAAATGTTCCTTTGGTATGTATACACGGAGGGAACTGCCACCAATCACCACATCAACAATACCTTTTAACATTGGTGGGCGGCTGCCCTGCATGCCACGCTGAAGAAAGCTAAGGTAGTACTTCCCACGAGCGTTACCCAGGTGGCTTAGCTCCACAACCTTCACTGCAGGGGGCTTGTCCTTGCTATAAGTACCGACACCGTTAGCACGAGCTCTTTCGTTAGCGCTTTCCAGCAACGAGGCAGCTGAGCATACGTCATTTCTGCCGAGTGAAAAAGTCGCGTAGCCTGTCTCTAGGAGAGAAACTCCGACATTTGCCCCTGTTTCAGGTATTGTCACAAGCGCCACTGGTCTGATTTCTTTTGTTTCGGATATTTGGCGTGCATATTCAACATGCACAGAGACCCGTTTGCCAATGTAATGTGTACGCAGGAACTCCTTTGCCTCCCACTCGTAGTCACTGTAGGTGACACGGGTCTCAGGAGAGCGGCCGTCCTGCTCCCGCGTGACATTTTTACTGGAGCGCACACCAGCCAAGGATACGCGTATAATCTCCCTCGTTTCATCCGAACGCACAGCAAGGGTATCACCGTTGATGATTTGTACAACAACAGCATTGAACACCAAAGGACCCTTGTACTCGGGCCCAGCATTGCCGTTTGCGTTTGTGTTCACCACAGGAAGCCCGGGAGCGGCCGGAGCGGCAGATCCGTAATTGACTTGAAGTGCGTTTGCTGTCGTGGGCTCCTCGAAATTCTTCCAGAACCCTTGGCGTGCAGCCCGGGCCTCGTTCTCAGCGGCCTGCAATTCTTCAGCTCGGTTCGTGTGGCTTAATGTAACGGGGTTGATTCTCACAAACCCACGTGAGAGTAGTTCATTCTGGAAGACACCTTTGGGAGAGGTGACGGAACCCAGAATGTTTCCAAAACGGTCAACGCCCTCAAAGACGACTTTTACCTTGCGGTGTAGGAGGTAGCGTTCCGTGTGGAAGCGTGCGGCTGTTGAAACAGACATACAGTCTGCATCTTTCACGGTGACACCAGACATGTGCACAGCCACATGCGTGGGGCCAAACCCCTCCGCAGACACCATGATGACCGTCGGCAGCAACACCTGCTCCACACGCACTTGAACCTCCTTCGCCTTAAGTCTCTCCCCAAGTTTAGCTGTTTCCTCAAGGCTGAGATCAACTAGAGTGCGCACGTGGCGCGATGCATTGGGGGCGAAAAGACCCTTCTTCGCTGCCTTCGCCTCGTTCATGAGCGCGGTGTATTTTGCAAAGAGCGACTTGTCCATTCGGGCGGGGGGACGTTCAGGAATGGTGGCGAAACCATTCTGCAAGAGCACGACAGCGGCGTCCTCCCCACTTGTGAGAGTTAGGCGCCCGGCTCGCCGCTGCAACGCCTCGATAACGTAGTCCTCCACGAATTTCACAGGCTTCCCAATAAATGTGGTGCGCATCAACTCTACCGCCTCAAAAGCACACGGGTCCTCTGGACCAAATTCACCACTCGACGTTCGGCGCGCAAGCTTGGGGGCTTGAATAAAACTTATCGCAATTTGCTTCAGGTTGGGGCCCTCTGGCGTAGGGGGGCCAAGAAGCGTCATCCGATCGGCATTATCTACCGCGAACACAATGTAAGACATCTATTACTTTCGCACACTTTGTGATCTTATGTTTTTTTTTTCGTTTTCCTACCGGTCTTCTTCCGTTTTTGTTTTTTTTGTCAGAATATGTTGCTTCGTCGCTTTAACTGGCGAAGAAGCCCCGTAAAAAACAAGACGTTATCGACGAGCAGAGGCACACACATGACGAGAGAGATCAATAATGCAAAACACATTCGTTACACATCCACACACAGATAGGTAGAGAGAGAGAGAGAGAGAAAGAGACTGTTGTAATTTACAATAGGCCACTACGGGCCCCTGCAACTCCACTCTATAGGCAGCCAGCCTCCTGCAGGCCCATGGCACGCATTTCGCGTGACATGTCGCGTTGCACCGTCGCACCCCGCCATTCCGGCATCCGAGCGGATGATGCCATATTGTAATAAATGGAAACGAGTTTCCGCTGACTTGCTGTCAAATCCACTAGGTATGGCAAGGCGACAGTGTCCAACGCCATCCATATGGAGACGCACGTCAGGACTGCGGTAAGACGCACCTCTGAGACGCTGTGCTGAACAGCACGCACAACCACACCACTTACGCGACGGAGCACCGGTTCACTCAAAGCTTCAGGAGGGCCATTCTGTGCTGGTGGATGCCCGTTAATATCGTTGTTGGCACAGTTGCTCTGCAGTAACACTACATTGCGTCCGTGTTGATCAAGCAAATGTTCCACGGACTCTAAGAGTGTAATCCAGCCCCTGGTACTTTCATCACGGTTTCCAAGTAGCCATATATCTAAGCTCATGGCAAGTGCATTAAGGCAGTGGTCGATCGTGTAAATACCGCTACTGAGTATCACCTGCAACAGCGAAGTTGCTTCAAGCTGCACTTCAGGGAACGCATCGTCGATGCCGGTACGTGCCAAAAGGATGACGCGCTTTAGGGAACGACTGACAGGTCTCTGAAGAATTCTGTTCCCCACCGTCGTCACCAGAACTTTGACGCCGCGGCACCTCACGGTGTGATCAGGCTCAATAGACTGAGGAATCAATTTCTCCAACTGCATTAAGAGTCGACCAAAGACATCGAGCCACAGCTTCGGGTTCGTTGCAATCATGCTATTGATACGATCCAAAACAGCACAGGTATCCACAACTCCGCATGCTTCATCCAGTCGATCTAGCAAGTCTACGACATCAACGTCTTCGTACGTCACTCGTCGTGACAGAGGCACCGCCGACGTGGATGTTGGGTCGTAGTGTAATGAAGCCCGAGTGTGCTGCGAGGGTCTCTTTGAATTAGGGGAGTTTCGCGTGGCTGATGCCCCACGAACACCAACAGCACCAGTTGCAGCAAGGGATTTTTGTTTTGCTCCTTCCAGTCGACCGTCGACGGGCGAAGCACTGCGCATCTTCTTATGGGTTGCCGCCTTCTTGGCGGAAGCACCCGCTGGTGTAGACCGTGATGGTCGCACCGTCGGCGATGCATTCGGCCTCTTTGCGGACTCCGAGGACGCATCGCCGCGGCGCCCGAGCGCTTCTGCGAAGGGAGACCGGACATGGGGCGGGGGGTGCTGCAGTTGCCGCTCGCCTGACGACCGTCGCCGGCACTCCTGTGCGAGGTGTGGCACGGCTGCCTCGAGTGCGTCGACAATCGTTTCTCGTTCCTCAGACGTAAATTGAAACAGCACACGCAGAAAGGTGTTTTTCGCGACTGCGTAAAGCACTGTAAAGGCCGCAACTGCCGCCTTGTGCAGATCGCTGTTCCTTCGATCGCTTTGTAATACAAACAGCATTCGTGTCATGGAAAGTTTTAGCGGTGATAGCTGGGAAAAATGATCTGCGTTCTCGGTGTACAGGTACTGGGCGTACTCGACAGCCTGCAATTTCACCTTTGGTGCCACGATATCGCCAAGGACACGATAGACAGCATGCGCCACATCATCTACAGAATTCGTTCGAATGATGGCTGCGAGGAGCTCACGGGACGCACTGGACAATGCCTCCTTGTTACCACTCACGTTAATAAGGAGGGAAGCCACAAGCTCCGGCATCTCATTCTTCAAGAGAGCGGGCGCAGAACGCATTACCATCCCCACCGCCTGGATCGCAGCTTGAGACACACGGCAGTTCGGATCGTTCAGTCGAGGAAGGAGCAACTTTACGCATTCTGTCTTCTTGGGCAACTGAGGAAATTCCGTTGAAAGCCTTTGAAGTCCCAGAAGGCGCTGCGACCACAACGTGCTCCGAAGTGCATCCTGCACTAACACCCAACTCTCTGCTGCATCCGATGGCGTATTCTGGCTAATTTCACCTTTAATGAATTTATCTTCCTGGTGCGATTTTCCTGCTACTGGTGCCGCTAAGAGGTGAGGTGAATCTTCCTTTGTAATACCTGTGTCTGCCCTGCTGCGTGCTTTAACAGCTGGTGTTGGCGGCGGCCCATCGACCATGGCAACTTGTTTCTTCAGCACGTTCCCACGCCGCTCACGGTCTAGCGCACGCTTCACGGGGTTCTCAAGTCCCTTGTACAGCACTCCTGCTGCCTCCGGTTCGGCAGCGTGGAAGGTCCAGTAACAGCGACGCGCACGAACCCGCACCTCCGCGTCGGCGTCCACCAGACCCTCACGCAGCACGCGACCGACGGCGTCAAGGTACTTTGAGAGGGGGAACTCATCGTCCTCGTTCTGTCCCTCCTGGACAATGAGCTGCAGCACACCAAAAGCACTTCGCCGCATCGCTGCGTGTCGGGCCGTGCAACCACGAAGGAGCTCTGCGAAGGAGCTGGCGCCAAAGCTCTTTGTTCTCGCCAGTGTCTCCAACGCTTCCATTGCAGCAGTGATTGAGGTCCGCTTGGTGCGTATTGTCAGCTGCAGAAGCGCTGGAACAAACCACTCACTCGCAACACGCCAAGCCGGACGGCTGCTAGAGTGCTTCGCAAACGCGGCAACGACAGCACACGCTTCATTGCTAAGCACCGTACGCATCTCTTCAATGTGGCGCAGGAGTGGAACCTTCACATACGTACCCATGAGTGACAGAAATCCGTGGCGCTTCGATATGTCAGCTCGGGCGAGTTGACATAACCGCTGCAGCGCCACAAGACGTTCCTCCCAGTCATCCGCGCCAGTCGCGTCCTTTCTGCATGAACTGAGAACATCAGAAAGCCGCTGCACCTCTACACACAACTCACGGTCATTCATTGCATTTGTGGAAGACGCATCCTCCACTTTTTCCGAGGGCATAGCCTAGACACGTTGGAAGCAGCAAACTTCCTGGGAATAAGAGCTTCAATGTGTGTTCTAGTTACTATTGCGGGGCGCAGCTTCCCACCATAGTCGCCATAAAAAGAAGGCACAAAAGCGAGACACTTGTAAGATTGGAAAAGTCACTCATAAAAAGAGAAGTAGGGAGAAAGAACTGAATTAATCCCCAACCTTCCAAAGAAAACGAACACACACAACAGATGTACAAAAAAAAGGTGATATTCATTCAAGCACCCATGTTTTGCTTTGTTTTTAAAGGGGGGGNCTTCATGTCTAATATATTTTTTCTTCAGACAAAGGAAAGCACTGAACCCTAAATCGATAGAAGCTCCGTCGCCGCCGCAGTTCCCATCGCCATGGCAGTAGAAACAGAACCAGCCCGCAACGTGTCGCACCCGCAAGCTTTCCACATCTTTTCTGTCACCCCAGCACAGTCACCAATGAATAGATTTTGCGTCCCTGCCACGCGAAGACTCTCATCACTGGCAAGCAACGACCCACACGAGCCGCTGCCAAACCCCAACCACACAGCGTGTCGGTGGATGTACGCCTCCATGTACGCAGAAGACCTCGAAGACTCCCTCGCACACTCAAGTGTCACCGACGCACTGGCACGCTGCTGCTCAGAGAGCTTTTTCGGTCTCGTGTGCATCAGCTGTACGTACTGAACGGCCCGGGCAGGATCGGTGAGCAGTGTCGCGTCGACTGCCTCCTCACCAGTGGAAAAGTGCCCAAGCGGCCGCTCTGCCACGATGCGACGACACAGCTGAATACCTTCCATGAACGCAGCCACAACATTTTGCACAACCGCAGGAGAAATCTCGGACATGGGCGAGGAAACAACAGAATCACGGTATTTTTTCTTTTCCTTCGCGCACTGCTTGCTCTCCCTATCTTCCTCAAGGTCCGTTCCCAACACAAAAAATGTCTTGTCGACACCCTTCAAGGCCATCAGCATCGTGAAGCCCTCGGCAAACGAACCAAGGGTGCGGTCGAGGCCTAAACGGCGGAACAGCGTCCTGTCACGCCCACCAAACGGCAGCAAAAAGATCACCATTTCAGCTTGTGGGCCAAGTGAAGGCACATCCACGGCCGCCAGCGTGTCGCACACGGGGTTGAGGAAAGGGCCGCGCCGTGCTGTCCACCACGCAGCGTGCGCTTTGGTGGAGCGGATGTTTCTCCTGTCATCCGAGAGCCCCGGAAGTGCTTGAAAAATAAGCGGAACGGCGATAGCGTCCCGGATAGTGTAGCAGTCCTGCAACTTTGGAAATACCTGCCGAAGAAGACGCGCAGACCCCAAAACGCCGGCGGATAAAACGACACCTTTGTGAACAGCCACAGAGAATTCGCGACGGCCCGCCACTGCGCAGTGGACGCTCGAGATGGTGTCATTGTCCTCAAAAGAAAATCCCGTCACTTCGCATTTTTCAACGACAGTAAGCATTGGCGACTTCGCGCGCAGCACATAGTTTGAGAGCGGGAGGCGCCGCCCATCTGTATCGAGACGCAAAAGACCAGGCATCACACTGTTGCGTGAGAAGGGTTCAGCGAGAGTGGCAAGGTGTTTTTTCTTCAAGACGGTTGCCGCAGATTCCGCAAATGCCCACGAGAGTGGACTCCGGCCGACAGTAAATCTGTGTGGGATATCTGTTTCCCCTGCGCCGACCACCTCTGCCACCACTGGAATCGGCTGAAAGTACAGAGCCCAATCCATGAGTGATGTTCCACCAACACCGCAACCTCTCGGATACGGTGCGAAGAAAGACGCATTATCGTTACTCCTGTCGTCACAGTCATATTTCTCACCATTATTGCTACTATTACTGCTGCTGCAGCAGCCGGCACCGTTGTGTAACGGGCGATGTGTGCACCATCCGGAGTCAAGGCTCGTTCCCACGAGGTCCACCGAATATGACAAGAAATTATGCATCTGCGTGAGGCTCACAATGGCTGCCCCCGGCCCCCCCACAGACGGGTCAGCGCCGCGTTCGATAAGAAGAACTGATGTGTCTCGCTTGTGTTGCAACAGACACTGCGCAGCGGCAAGGCCGCCAGGACCTGCACCAATCACGACATAGTCCACATGCATATCTTGCAATGGCCCCCGAACCACTTTGTATGGCCGGCGAACGTAAGCTGAAGTCGGCTGCAACTGCCACAGCCAGTAGACCATGAGAATGGCCAGAGTCACTACAAATTCCAGCAACATGAATTGAGAGGTCTGTTCTATGTCCTTTTTTTTTTCACTGTGTGTTGTTGTTGTTGTTGTTTTTTTGGAGGAGAGGGGTGTTTAGTTTTAATTCATGCCCAGGAGAAATAAGGACGCAAAAAAAAAAGGGAATGAGACAACTGGTCGCCGCAGGCTAATAGGAGGCAAAATAAAACGACACGTGACACGTCAACCAAAACAAATCAACACAAAAAAATTTTCGTCACGTGCATTCCTTAGTTTACCTCAATCACAGACGTTTCTTTCTTCACTTTGCATCTTATAATTTGTTTCGTGTTTTCTTTTCCCTTTCCTTTCTTTGCCTTTCTTTCGTTTTCACCTCACCTTAAAACACATTCAAGAGATACAAGTGGAATTTCCGTGCTTCCTTATTTTCTTTCCGATTTCTCCCCTCCGGTCAAGCCTTACCGTACTATATAGAGATGTGGGTCTATTTCAGCCTTCTACCCTGGTGTTGGGCACGTAGTGCCGGCGTTGCTGTTGTTGCTTTCCGGTACTACCGAGGCGAACAATAGAGAGCCAGAAAAGATGGAAAACAAAAATAAAGGCGGGAGGGCGAGCAGCCATGCAGAAGCTGACGAAAGAAAAAAGAGGAGAACCAAAAAAGGTATATGCGGAAAGTCACACACAGAGATAGCATATATATATATATATATATATAAATATGTAGGTGTTTGCAGACACTTATTTGTGTATGTCCATTAACAGACTATACAAGGAGCGTCTTCGGCGTGTCGGTAACCAAAGGAAAGAAACCAAACATTGCCCACACCGACACGCCTAACACGCACTCTGCACCACGCACTTTCGCCTCCTCCAATCGCCAAACGCTACAACACGGCACATCCTAACGAGTGTTAATAATAATAGAAAAAAAAAACGTCATGCGTTGGGGAGTCTTGAACACAGGCGCACCCAGTAAACTTCGTCCGTCCACGTTCCTCTATACACACGAATCTTAATTGAGAAACAAAAGATGCAAAGCAGCACACACAGAAGGAGAAGAAAGAAAAAAAAAAAGTGGAGAAGTAAGAGGTCAGGGATCTTCTACTGAAATGGCATCGCAAGCGCTGCCAAAATTATACTCACCAAGCGAGTCTGACATGCCTTCGATTAGCATGCTTTTGTACATCTCCGGTGGCTGCAAGTGACGGCGGCTGAGAGTGATGCTGTGAAGATCTACTTCAGCGTCCACATCACCGACACTGTGCAGGCTCATCAAGGATTTGCGGTGGGCGTCGAGCAGCTCCGCAGTGCTCATGCCCGGCACGATGGACGTCTCCCTGGACTGGTATGACGTGAGTTCGGCCCTCTCAGAGCCATCGCGACTCCGCTCCCTCGCCTCAGTAAATGTGGCGACCTGAAAGGCAGGATCGGTCCTGTATTCGAGCTCAACACGTGGCATGTTTTTTTTTTATTATTATTGTTGGTGGTGTTTCCTTCTTTTTGGCTTTAGAAAGCGCTACTTGCTGTAACACTAATTACACAAGAATGAGAAATAAAGCCAACTCAATGGAGGCAGTTCGGTACACCGTTGTGCTGTGCGTATATACATATACATTATATATATATATATATATATATATAGGAGAGAGAAGCGCAGTAACTGTGACGCAATAGAAAAGACACCCGGAAAGAACGCTTGCACACCATTTCCACAATAAACGCTAATATTCGTTATTCATCAAATTGAACGGCTCCATTGCCACACCGTCAGCCGCGTAGAACTTGTTGTTGAACTCCACCCAGTGAAGACGGAGGGCATGCAAAAAAGCGGAAAGGGCTTCCATGCCAACCAACACGGCCAACGTCACCCCCAGCCACACGGCAATCCCTGCAGCAGTGAAGACACCCGTCGTGTCCATCCCGAGCACCTTCACAACGGCAAAGGTAAAGAAGACCTCCGATAGTTGCGCGTGCGCCAGCGAGAGAGCCCAAAGGCGCAGGTATGACGCGGTGTTCGACACGCAGCCAAGCACATACTCAATGGTGTGAATCACGTAGTGGATGGCCACCTCTGAAAAATCAAAGTGAGGCGTCACATCANCACGCAGCCAAGCACATACTCAATGGTGTGAATCACGTAGTGGATGGCCACCTCTGAAAAATCAAAGTGAGGCGTCACATCAGCGACAACACCGGCGTTCCCGCTGTTGGAGTACACGTCATCTGGAGCCGTCAGGGAGTGCCTGCTGGGCACGAAGTCCACCCCATCCGCCGGCGATACGTTTCTGCTCCCCACAAGTACGCTGGAGGTGTGCTGCCTGCCGTCCCCCGCGCCAATGGACCGCATCGAGGCGCCGTCCCTCAACACCGCGTACTCCGCTCGTCGCCGCCTCTCCTTCCGGAGCTCCACAAGGGGCATCATCACCAACATCACCGGGACCATGGCAAAGGCGACGAGCAGGAAAACCAGCTGCAGCACGGCTTGTCCGTTAAAGAGCGGCTGTGTCACGGTGCCGGGCTGCAGGAAAAAGTTCGTCATGGTTTCCAGAATGCTTGGTGCCTCACTCGTGTTTTCCCACCGCGTGCACCACTTGATTACGATTGCAACGGACATATAGCCAAACGTGCACAGCAGGAAGACGGTCTCTGGGATGAAGAGGAACAGAATCTTGGCAAACTCCCTATTACGCAGGTAGTTTAGCAGTGAGAGTACGTTTCCTGTAAGCATTTGCAGAACACCGACTATGACGGCGCACTTCATCTTCACAGAGTTGTAGAACTCCAGCTTGTTCTCCGTCTCCGCCCACGCCGCGTCGAGGCCGAACAGGTAGACACGCGTCTGGTTTTGCACCTCTGTTGGCTCCACCGTGCCCTTCTGCTCGGCGATTGGTGGCCACGAGTACGCGCTGGAGAACATCCCAACCGAGAATCCAAAAAAGTCATTATAGAGGGCACCCATATAAATGGAAAATAGGCTCATCAGCAAAAGTAGGTAGCGTCCACCAAAGAGCATTGCAAGTATCTCATTCAGCCGATAGCCCCTCCAGCTGCGCTCCATTGCGATGAAGTAGAGGGCAAAGAACATGAGCAGCATGCCGTGGCCAATGTCACCGTACATGATCCCAAAGAGGTATGGGAATGTCACGATGGTGAAGACGCCCGGGTTGACTTCCTTATAACGCGCCATACCGTAGCTGTCAACAATGGACTGGAAAGATTCTGTAAAGGCATTTGTCTCGAAATACGTGGGTGGGTTACACTGTGAAAGGTGTGGCGAAACCACCGAGGGAACACTTCCGGATGACGCATGCACCGCGTCCTTCAAAGCTGTGGACAGGGCCTCTTCGTACTTCTGCGGGATCCACACAGAGGCGGTACAGGTCGTCCCAGAGACAGCGCAGAAATTCATTTGGGCGAAGACCTGTTTCTCTATCTGTACAAAACGGAGGTTAGCACGGTGGTGGCGATTATGCTGCGTCAGCAGCTCCATCTTGCGCTGCTCTACCCGCCCATACATCAGTTGGAGCTCCTCCATTGACCGGTTCAGTTCCTCCCTTGTCTGGTGTGATACACCGCTCATTGTGTGCACCGTCGCGCCGAGGCTGCCGAGGAGCCGCTCCACCCGTTCCAGTACGCCTGGTGAAGGGGCGAAAACTGCAAAGGGCGTCTTGGCGACGCACCGCTCGCCCGTATCCGGGTCGAGTAGCATGACAGGTCTGTTGTCTAGTTCAATCAGGGAGTTACCTTTGGTCGCCCGGTACACCACGGCGTACAGTATCTCCGCCTTTTCGGCGGCGATTACCCCCAGCACGTGCGGTGTCTGCACATCCGCGGCAAACGACTGAACAGTTCGAGACGGCATCAACTCCTGCAGCCTTGTGTGGAGCAGCGACAACTCATGGTTGTAGTTAATCTCACGCCGTAGCCCCTGCAGGGATTCATTCACGGCGTGCAGCTCCGCCACGACTGTATTGACCCTCTCTTCCACCTCGTCCAGCATAGTGAGACGCATCAGCGACAAAATATCCTCTTGTGCTTTAAATGGTGGGGCGCATTCTTCTTCTTTTTCTAGACAGCTCACCCTCTCCAATTCCTTTGCTACGACAGATAGTTTGCGCTCCAACTCATCAAGGTGGCGAATTTCTGGGGTGTAAGGACGCATGAACGCCGTCATGTCTTCATTCAAGTCGACAAACTGCGCCTTGCCAATCAGGCCGAGGCGGAGAACCGTTTCATGCAGAACCTCACGTTGCGTAATGATGTCGAGGCGCACCATGTCTTCGGAGCGCCACAAGCCGCTCGCTCCCTCGGGGGGCATGCCTGTGAAGTGCCCAACTTCCCTCTGGATGGATTAAGAGCGAAAAAAAGAAAGGTGTTTCCGTGCCCCTACCGCGACCGGAGGTTATGGCAATACCACTATTCATGGTCATAACAACAAAGAGCAACTGATCACCAGCCACCCTTCTTCCCCTTCCGTGTTTCGCATGAACGGCGAAAATGACAAGCTCTCACACACGCACACACACACAGACACCTATACACAAACAAACAGCCTAAAATAAACACGCGCAGATCTCACAATTGTGCTACATCGCCGCAGCTGGCGGTGCTGCCTTCATGGTGCAAAATCGGAGCTTCTCCGACATGGTCTCAATTCGCCTAATGAAACGGCGAAGCTTCGCCGCGAGAACTGATGGCTGGTCGTCCATCACATAATGCCCACAGCCGTTACCAAGCACCTCAAACTGGAACTTCCCCTGCATCTGCGCAACTGTGAGTGCGACATCAAGACGCTCCGCGTTGGCGAGGCAAAGTATCTTCGGACCTGGCAGCTTCACAAAGGCATCGTCGAGGCCGTTAAACCACTCGGCCCACACCGACGCCATCGCTGCCAGGTCCGACTTCCACTCGTAGTGGTTGTCGACCCGCTTCAACAACGGCGGCACCGTCACAGCTGCAGCCGCGGGGGACCTCATGCCGCCGCGTTGCAGGAACCACTGCGTCGCCTCCGCCACATCCGCAAACTGCAGCGGTCGGTCCTGCAGAAACTTGTCCATGTACTGCAGCGACACCTTCGCGGTGCCCTCCACCACGTCGAGCAACACCACGCCCGCGACCATCGCCATTAAGTCCTTGGCCTTGATCAAGGTATTCACCACTATAGACCCGCCAAGAGAGTGACCTATCACGTAGAAACGCGGCGTGTCAGCGAAGAGTGTCGTCTTAACGGCAGTCAGCACACCGCGGAAGTCGTCCACGAGCACCTGCAGTGTGAGGTTTCCTTCCCCACCGCTGTACGTCGAGTCACCGTGGCACCGCATGTCATACGTGACCACGCGAACAATACCCGGCCATCCGTCAGCCTCCGCCTCTACGCCACCAGCTTCATGGTGCTGCTGCACAAGGTGCGTGGCCAGCACAAAGTAGTTCGAAGAACTCATGCCGGCGCCATGCACGCAGAACAGAACGGGCGGTGGCGCCTCCCCCCGCTGCCGGTACACCTCGTCACTGCCGCCAAACAAGACGACGTGGTACCTGTCACCCGATGGCAAAGTGACGTAATGATCCTCATGGGGGGCAACGGCATACGGGTGCATGTTGATACTGGAACTATGAAACCTTCCTCGTGTGCCCCCTTCTTTTCTTTTTCCGTCTACTTCTCCTCCCTGCTCACTGGCTTACGCTTCTTTGTCTTTCTGCACAATGATGACCTTTTTGGCATTTGAGTGTAGGGAGTGAAGAAAACAACAGGAAAGAGCAAGGGTGCATGACGAAAGAGAGCANTTTTGGCATTTGAGTGTAGGGAGTGAAGAAAACAACAGGAAAGAGCAAGGGTGCATGACGAAAGAGAGCAGTAAAACAGGCGAAGAGGTGAAGGAGTCACGCCCCAACAAACGGAAGCCGGGAGCTAAAGCTACGTGGTAGAGACTGCTTATTCGAGCGAATCTAGCAGCGACCCGTTGCGCCGTGTCTTTCCAGCACCAAGCAGCCCATCCAACGCCTTAATTTTCTCGAGCCGTTTGGACACAAGTCGCGCCCTGTCGAGCAGAAACCTTGCGCACCGCTGCTGCTCCACGCACCGCATCGCGTTGATCTCCTCCGTGCGCTGTCTGGTGGCGCGCAGCACCTCTTGTGTGCTCTGCAAAGCAGNATCGCGTTGATCTCCTCCGTGCGCTGTCTGGTGGCGCGCAGCACCTCTTGTGTGCTCTGCAAAGCAGCGAGTGCCACGGACGCCCCCACCGCACCCCCCGCACCGCCGCTTTCACACGAGAGCAGTTGCAGCTCCAGGCCGAGCGACTCCGTGAGTAGCGCCTCGAAACGCAGTGCCTCTCCCTCCGCCGTCGTGTCAACGGATCGTGATCGCTTCCGCAGGAGCTGCGCCGAGCTCTGCGACGCCAGTGACGAGATGAGCTCCCGGCTCACTGCATGCATATCCTTCCGGAAGAGGTTGTACCCCTCCATGTGACCACGCTGCTGCTGCTGCAGGGCCTCGAGCCTCTCAGTGTACGCGCTGCATTCGCTCTGCGCACGCTCCGCCTCCTGCCGCACCGACACACGCGCCTGCATCAAGTGAANTTAGGCGCTGCATTCGCTCTGCGCACGCTCCGCCTCCTGCCGCACCGACACACGCGCCTGCATCAAGTGAAGCTCCGACGGTGGCACATCGGTGTACGGGAGAATCATTGGCCTCATGTGCCGCCCTGGGTGTCGGGTGTGCGTCAGCAGCAACAGAAAAAAAAACGAGCGAGAAAGGCGCGAAACAAAAAAAAGAGAAACAAAAGCAGCAAAGAAATTTCACATCATGCGCCCTATACGTTGCCGCACATACACACACACACAAACAAACATATATAATACACGTATGTATATACCCTCTCTCGTTTTCCTGTTGAGCAGAAGCTCAACAGCGATGTTTCCTGCTTTTTCGCTCCTCTTCTTCGACAAACACACACACACACACAGACATATATATATATATATATATATATATCCTCTCCCATCCCCAGTAGCAGACCTTTTGAACCCCAGTGGTATGACAGCATCACGTAGAGATGTTCTACGTGCAATGTGAGACCGGCCACTTATGGAGAAACGCTGCAGCTGAAGGGACCAGGGTTGACTTCGCATTCTTTCTTCGCACGACTACACCTCCGTCACATTCTTGTAGAGTTCCAGCTTCGCCTCCGCGTTTTTCTCATCCTTCGCCCGCTTTGCAGCCTGCCGCTTAAGATACGCTACCTCATTGGTCACAACACGCTCAATGAGTGTATAAGTGGTGAGGTCGCAGCCGGAGTCCACCTCCTGGTAGCAGCCCATCCCTTTAGGCACCGCGTAGGCGTCGTGGCAGTCCCCACTCTCGTAGGCGTCGCACGTCTTCCCACCAACAACGACGCTAATACCGAGATTCTCAATCACCTCACGCGTCACCTCGTAGGGGGCACCAAGCACCACTTCGTCAACGTACCGGCACGACAGCACACCTAGGACGCGCTCGTTGAGGCTCATGATAGGGAAGTTCTTCCCCTTTGCCCTACGTATTACGCTGTCCTCGTGCACACCGGCGATAAGGTAGTTACCCAACTCCCGCGCCTTCTGCAGTACGCGAATGTGGCCGTAGTGAAACAGGTCAAAGCTGCCGTCCACGTACACAATTCGGTCACCCGGCTTGGAGCTGCGACCGTTGCTGAATTGCGCAATCTTGCGTGACGTGGTCAGGTAGTGGAAGGCGCCGAGCTTAGAAGTCTCGGCGGCGAGGAGCATTTTCTCCTCCTCACTCAGCAGACTGCCGGGGCTACAGAGCAGCATACGCCCAACGAGGTTAGTGGTGGAGATGCTCTCGGTGCGCTTCACCACTTTGAAGCGGCCAGCGTCAATGATCTCCTGGTACGAATTGCGCCCGTTTAGGTCGACGGAGATGTCATCGCCGTGCACGACAAAGTCCACTTCAAAGCGGTCCATGTCAGCCAGCCGTGTGACGTACGGATAGTTTTCCACAACGTAGTTGACCCATTTGCAAGCGCGCAGTGCCTCATAGCGCTCCACCTCGTGCATGATCGGCGGCCCCTTGTAGCGTATAATCTCAGCGTCCGAGTGGCAGCCCACCAGCAGCTCATCACCGAGCGACGCCGCCTGTCGCAGCGCATTGGCGTGGCCAAAGTGCATCAAGTCGAAGCACCCATCAACCCAGACACGCACCGTACCCGGCCTCTTGGGCGGCAGCAGTTCGGCGGCGTAGAGCGGGTAAGTGTTGGCTGGATCATCAGCGTTAAGGTGTACCTTACCGCACGACATCGTCAGTGGAGCGGTGCAGTGGGCTGCTCGCCGAGTAGAAACACAGCGCGGAACCGCACAGGACAAGCGAGTGCGCGTCGATGCGTCAATGCCGTTCGGGTGCCGGAGAGAGGCCTCTGAGAGATATCGAGTGGATGCTGCACACTACCAGCGGCGGCGGCGGCCGTGCCTGCAATGAAACCTAAACAAGACTGTGCGGAGGCTGAGAGAGCAAAGCGACAGCGCGCGATAGCACCATCAACAGAAGCGGCAACATCAGCAAACCCCACATGCACAGAGTGTGTGTGTGGGGGGTGGGAGAGAGGAAGAGAGAGAGAGAGATAGCGCGCCTGCGCGCAAAAATGTTGTTTTGTAAACAAAAGGAAAAGGACGAAAAATGAATCTGTGGGTGCACAGAGAGAATGGATCTACGCCACCACAGCACGCTTCGTGTTCTTCTTGACGAAGATGGCGCGGTCCTTGCGTGCCGCCTTGACGCGGCGCTGCAGCAGCGGGAAGGAGAGGTTGCTCGCGTGGTACTGCGAAATGCTGAGGCGCTTCACCGCGTGGTTCGGGATGCTCTTCACGCCGAGCACGTCAATGTTGTGGTAGCGCGCGCGGTGGCGGGACGCGAGGTCGTGGTAGGCCTGGCTGACGGCGCCCGCCTTGCACACATCACGGAACTCCTTCACCATGTGCGTGTAGCCGCAGCGCTGGCTGTAGTACGCGATGTCGACGCTGTAGTTGCGCGCGGCCAGCTTGCGGTCCTTCACAACCTTGCAGGAGAGCACGTCGCCGTGAGTCGACTTCACCTTGTTCTTGTTGCGCATCATACGCCAGAAGCGGCTCTTGGCGACCACGAAGTTCGGCGCGAACACCTCGTACTTGTACACAGTCGGCTCAGGGTTCTTCTCTGACGGCGTCTCGCGGCCCACGACGCAGTAGTGACGAAGATGCGGCTTCACCATTGCTGCTGCTGCTGCTTGCTTCCTCCTGTTGCTGCGACGCGATTTGCATGCGTGTAAAAGTGTGTGTGTGAGTGCGAGAGAGAGAGAGAGAGAGAGATATTTGGCACCGTGAGAGATGGAGACAGGCCAGCAATACACCCCATATATACACATTTATATACATATGTGCTTGCGCGGGTGTGCGTGAGCGGCAAGGAGAGCGAGGCACGCGTACAACTCTGTGCGCAGAACGAAGACTTCATGGCGAACACAAAACAACAAACATAGACACGCGTAACACAAAAGAAGAGAAAACAAATAATAATAATAATAATAATAATAATAATAATAAGGGGAGGAAAACAAATAAGTCAAGCAACATGCGGCACGCCACCCTCGTGCGTCTGCTAGGAGCTGCTGTCTCTCCCTCTTGCTTGTTAAACCCGCTCATCAAGTTGCACCTGCCGCAGCGTCACGCAAATGGAGCCACACGACGAGAGCCATGATACGCTCCTCCACCTCCGCGTCAGCACTCACCGCCGCACGCGGAGATGAACAGGATGGCGAGGGCAGCGACCCCTCCGCCTTCTGCCGCAGAGACGCCACAGCATCGCCCTCGCGCCCGTGTGTGTCGGCGAGAGTCAACGCCAGATGGACAGACAATGCCGCGATTGCCTCCGCCTCCCACACCGCCAAGGTTGGGCCCGCATCCACCCCAGGAGAAGCAGCAGCAACAGCAGCAGCGGCCGCCGCTGTGTGTGTCTCCACGCAAACCAGCGAGAGAGTCTCAAGAGGCATGCACGAACAGGCCGCAAGAGACCCATCTGACCGACCAGCAGCCCGCAGCTGTCTTGTGTCGGGTGGAATACACACGTACACATCTCGCACAATACGTGCTATGGCCGCTGCGGCCTCCGACACGGTGTGCCACTGCGGTGCTGTGGTGGACGCCAGCTGCCGCGCCACAGCCGCTGCAACAGCCGCCTGGAACACGCGGCAGCCACACCACTCTTCGTACACACGCCGCCACGCTGCTGGGCCGTCAACACACCCCGGCATCACACGTGCACCATGCCACTCCTGCAAAGCGAATTGGGACACGGCGGAGTGGATACGCATGAACCACCAGTTGTAAGTGTCCTGCGCGATGTCGTCGTTGCGAGCCGCACCGTACGCATTGTTGTCTACCTGCAGTGCTGCCTCTGTTGTTGCGTGGCCCCTCCTTCTGCGGGAGACCACGAGCGGAAACAGTGCAACGTTTTCGCACAACAGCTTGTGCGAAACGGACCTGCAGTGATCGATGAATGCCCACGGCGTCGCAAACCATTCTCCGTTATGCACAGCGGGGAACAACCACGACAGCGCCTCCTCATCCCCGTGACTAAGAGTGCACAGGGACGAGGATGAAGGTGTAGTGTCCACGAACACGTTCTCTGAAGCTGTTGCTGCTGCTGCTGCTGCTGCTGCTGGAGACACTCCGTAGTTGAGCAGCGGTCGACTGAATAGTTCGCGCACGCGTGTAGCAAGCAGCGGCTGGCCGAGGTGATACCAACGTACGGGACGGGGTACGCAAGTCTCTGATGAACGCAACAGGGGCAGCGGCACCGCCGCCACTGTGGTGGATGCCGAAACAGGGCACCTCAGTAGCACCGCTTCATGGGGGCCTTCCGCCAAAGCAGCAGCAGGAGGGGCCGGAGCCNCCGTTTTGTTCCCATCAATGGTGACATTATCGTGTGAGCCACGACCATCAAGCGCTGGCTTTGCAGTAGCAACACCGTCCCTGCACCGCAATGCCTCCTCTGCCAACTTCTTTTTTCGCGTCTTCGCGCGTAACGGGTACCACTTCCGCCGCCTTGACCGCTTCTTCTCCATCAGGCGGGACCACGAGGCAATGTAGGTTGCGCGGCTATCCGCGCAGGACACTTCACACTTCTCCAAACAGTGCTGTCCCGACGTAGCTGAAGGCGCCGCACACATCTCCTTGCCCGCCGCCCCCGTCCGCTTGTTGCTGGTTATAGAGGAAGCCGCAGCCTTGCAGCCTGGCGACCCACGCGCGGCGTTGCTACTGCTGCTGTTGGGACATGACGCCGCGACGGCGCGGGCGGCCAACTGCTTCTTGCGCCTCTTGACGCGCAGCGGGTACCACATCCGCCGCTTCTGAGGCGCCATGCCGCAATTCTGTTCGTGTTTCTCTCTCTCGCTCTCTCTGTGTGTGTATGTCTGGCCTGGCCAGACGAAGGCCAACGTCTGTGCCGCCAATACAGGAGCGGTGTGGTGGGAGAGGGGGCGCAGAGAGAGAGAGAGAGAGAGTGGAAAAGGCGGCAGTGCGGAAGGAGGGCTCCCCGCAGAAGCAACGCACACAGGCGCACGAACCACGACGGGGAAGATATCTGTAGGGGATCCGTAACGGTCCAAGAATAATTTAAAAAAAAACAACACTACTGCACGCCAAGAATCATACTAGCACGAGCCAAACCAAAAAAAGAGCCACACGAAACAACAAGGAAAACTAATCACAAACCAAAGATAAAATCAGAAGCAGCACCACATCTCATGGACAATGGTGAGATGTGGCAGCATCCCCACCCCCTTCTGGCTTCCCCCCGCGTCACAGGCCGAGCTGCGCCTCGAGTGCGTACGGATCCGTCGTGGCGGTGGACTCTTGGTCTTTTTGCGGTTGCTCGCCACCCGGCAGCTCAGGCAGCTTCCCGCCCGGCATTGCGAGCGCGTCGGCGAGATAACTCGTGTCGGCCTCCTTCTCCATGTCGAACGCGAGTGCGTCCAGTTCGCCCATCATTTCGTCCTCGTCGATGTCCTCCGGCACGTCGTACGCGCGGCCCATGATTTCCTGGATCTCCTGTGTGTCCTCGTAGAGGTCGCGCAGTTCGTCCTGCATCTTTTCAACGTCGTTTACCTTGAACTTCTTGAACTGGTGCTTGAGTGTTTTGCCCGCGTCCTTCATCGCATCCAACTGCACTTTCGTGTCCTTCACCGACTCCGTTGTGTACTGTAGCTGGTCCATGTTGAACTGCTGTTGCATCATGACCTCCTGCTGGTTCTGATACAAGCGCTTCTGCTGCAGTAACTGAAGTGCACGTTGCTTGTACCGCTGCTGTGTTGCACCGCGTGTCTTGATGATGCATTCCTTCAGTTTCAGTAGCTCCGCATCGATCTTGCTCACGCGTGCGTCCACCGCTTCATTACGCGCGTTGAGGCGGGCGCTGGCATCCTCTAATGTGGGCTTCGGTGTGTTCTTTGGCTTGCCAAAAAGCCGATTCATCGCCCTGTATATATATATGGCTTTCCTTTATTTTTCCCTCTCTCTGTTTCTTCCCCTGTCCAGCGCAGCCTTTCCACTGGGTTGCCCTTCCTCCTCCTCCTCCTCCTTCTGTTAAAGCGTTGTAGTTGTCGTGTAGTTTTCTTATACTCTTGTTGCTTCGTCGAGAGATGCTTGTGTCCGTCTTCTACGCGTAGAGTAAGCACCACCCACTTGCCTTGCTTCGTTGTTGTGGATGTTTCATGTTGTGCAGGCAAAGCACCAATAAATAGCAATAAGGCAAGGAACACAAAACAAAAAAAAACATAAAAGAGAGATGAGGTGAAGAAGACCCACGCGGTGATGACGCACAGAGGCAGAAGCAGCAGCACCACATGACGTTAATGCCATATCGCACCAGACACAGACAAAGCTGTTTTTTTTTTTGCATGTTTGCTCGCATGGGAGATGCAGCTGTCTTTGTTGTTGCTGCAGCTGCTGACGGTA